AAACATTGAAACACTAATGGGAAAGTAACATGTTTGAATGTTTTTGGAGCCTCACCGAAACGTCTTAAGGGGCCTCCCGAAGCCCTTTGGAGCTCTCTTGGGGCTTCCTTGGGGTCTTTCGGGGCGGGAGGCTCGTATTTTCAGTTCGTGGTCCCCCCTGGGGCTCGTTTTTGGGCCGTCTTGGAGCGTTCGTGGGCCATCTCGGGCGCGTCTTGGACCGTCTTGGGGCGCTCTCAGCGCGCTCTGGGAGCTTCTTGGGCCGTCTTGGAGCGGTTTTGGGAATTTCTTGGGCGGTCAGGGAGCGTCGGAAACCCGCAAAAGCGAGGACGCTTAAAACATCGACAAACCTATGGAAATTCAATGATGTTGCTCTCTCGGGCCCCCTTTGAGAACGGTCTTGGGGCTCTCGCGGAGGGTCTTCAAGGCTACCCGGGTGCTATCCTGGACTGTCGTGGGTGTCTCTGTGGGCCTGCGCCGACCGATCTGGCACTGCCGCCCGCCTGCATGCACGCCTCGGAGAAAGGATTTTCGGCCGCCCCCGTGGCACGGATCCGGGGGGTCCCGTTTGGGGGGGGCCGGGGGTCCGCACCCCCGGAGTTATAAAGATATAGAAAAGGGAATATATATATATATATATATATATATATATATTGGTATAGTTGCATATCCGGGCGTGTGTGTGTGTATGAACGCATTACGATACCAACAACAATGTAAACAACAGCTGGTGTGACCACCGAATGCCGACACCACGCTGTTTCAATAGTTCCCCGCCCCACGCATCAAGATGGTTGAACACACATCATGTGCCACAAATACGTGTCATTGTGGTTTCATGTCTCCCCAGGACTTCTGCCTGTACCCAACACCGAAAGGGTCCTGCTGTTAAGGCCGCCACTGACACAGAGCCGTTCGCACAGCCGCCACACACGGAATCAGGTTGTGATGCCGCCACACAGGGAAATCCCGCTAGCCGCTAGCCTCCTAAGCGTGGGTGGTTTAGTGATTTCCCTTTTCAATCTTCCCGATTCCCCTTCGAGGAGGGGCCCACCCCTCACCCATACCCTATCTCGAGGCCCGGAGGGGGGGAGGGGGGCGCGACCGATTGGATCGTCCAAAGGAAGGCATCGGCTAGAAGGAACACGTTATTGATTTGACGTATGTGTTGGGCCAGTGTCGGCCTCTTGGGGGGGGGCCTAATATAGTACCTCCCCTTCTTTGACCGATCTCCGCTAAAACGGCCCCAGGATGGTCCCCAAGGCCTCCAAGAGTGCCCCAAGAGTGCCCCAAGAGGCGCCCAGGCGGCCCCAACAGGCTCCGACAAGGTCACTGAGAGGCTCACAAGAGACCCCCCAAGATGCCCCAAGCGGCTCCTCCAAGGCACCCAAGACGCACCAAGAGGCCCCCAGGACCGCCAAGAGTCCCCCCAAGGCGCCTCCAGAGGACCCCAAGAAAATTTCAAGACATATCCGACAAAAAATGCGAGAGGCATCAGAGAGGCCGTTGGCCATTCTGCTCGCCCTCCTCCACCGCCTGGTCCTCCTCCTCCCTCCTCCTTTTTCACGGCTCCCTCTACCAATCCCCCTCCTCAGCCTCCTCCTCCTCCTCCTCCTTCTCCTCCTCCTCCTCCGACGACGATTCCTCCTCCATCTTCTTGGGGTATCCTTGATTCCCCAGCCCGGTATTCAATCGCATGTTTCCCCACATCCCTGATCAGGGCAACTCGCTAGGGCATCGTTTCTGGGTGGGCTGCTGGGGTTGCGCGAAGGGCCCAGAATATGTTGTAAGGCCGCGCGCAAAAAGACATTACTTCGCAAAGTAGTCACACACTATACCCATTTACATCTTATTCAACGCCCGACACCGGCATTAGGTAAAACACAGCAGTGTAGCTGAAAGTGGTGCAACCAAAATGTGCTTACAACATTTTGTGCTTACCGTACCCGGCCACACACACGTAACACACAACAGTATGGACCTCCGAGGTGCGAACACGCTGTGTTCTCATAGTGTTCTCGCCCCCCCCCCCAAAAAAAAAACATTGCCTGATTCAGCGCACGTTAGTGGTCACACTGGTTCCTGATGAAAGATCGACCAACATCGTAGGTGGAGTTCGTTTTCTCTGGACGCACCGCGCATGAACCAGGAGAACACACGACCGCATCACCGCCACCACCATCATCAACAACAACGCGCACACTCGCTCGCGCACTCACTCACACACCCCAACATCCACCTACGCGCATACACACATCCCACAACCCGCACTCACCACGTCACTCACATACACACACACACACACACACGCACACACACACACACACACACACACACACACACGCACACTCAGTCACACGCGCACACGCACACTCAGTCACACACGCGAATATCGAAGAGACATCCGGCGGGAACCTCGTCCGCCGCAGAACCGCAAGGCACCCTTGACTGGTGATCCCTGCCTATGGGGCCCACACCTCACGCGAGGAACCCGAAAAGTCCATCGGCATACTTCAGCAGGAAAAAACACTTGAGCACCGCAAGGGGCTGATCGTGAAGCTGTCTTGGGCGGGGGCCTTGACTGTGAGTCAATGGTAAGGAGGTCTCGAGCGGGAAGCCCGTTGTGGCCTCAACTCCGCGGGAGTAATCCACTGCGGTCGTCCGCATAGTTGGGAATCGAAGCGCAAGAGCACCCCTCGGAGGCGAATCGCGGAGATGTTTTGTGCGGGGGCCTCGAGTGTGACTGAATCGCGAGGAACTCTCGAGCGGGGGCTCTCTCACTTCAAGACTCCATCTGTGGGTGAATTGCGCGGAAGATTCGAACGGGAACCCCCTACCCGACATACTGCAGCAGGCGTCACACGTGAGCGCCCCAAGGGGGCTAATCGTGCGGATGCCTCGAACGACCAAAACTTTCAACACACCGAAGGGACGTTTCGAGCGGAATCCCCCTTTCCAGATGGAGGTCATGTATGTGTATAGATATACACATATACATATATGTATATGTATGCACATATACGATACATGAGTGTATATATGTAGTCTACGCATGTATGTGATATCCGTGGCGATTACCGGCATAGTGTAGCAGGAAAAACACTGGAGCGCCCCGAGGGGGAATAATCGTGATAATTTCTCGAATGGGGCCTCGTCTGGGGGGTTGTGTGCAGGCATGCGGCTTCAAGGGGTCCATGCTCTACCGAGAGATCGCCGAACAGCTGATGCAGGATGCCGAAAACGCTGGTCACGATGGCCAGGCCGGGAGGCGGGTGCGGATCTTTCTCATGCTCAAACCCAGCGAACAAGAGCTCACCTGGCATTGTTCGAGGCTTCTCCGTGCGCTGCTCGAGGCTCACCCCGCCGCGCCGCCATACCTCACCTCCACGCTGTCGCAAAACCAAGCGCTGCGCGAGGGCGTCCCCGCTGACTGCGCAAGGAAGAGGACGCAAGTCACACGGGCACGTCGGACGACGAGTAATGGCTGCATCTCTACATGTGGTTTTCCCGCGCCATGCGCGTGCGGAATACCAGGATTCTGCGACCGCCCACGCAACAAAATTCTGGAGAGACGGCCGCCGGCGCTCCAGCGGGGGGCACCCTTGAAGTTCGACGAGGACGCGGGGAGCTCCTGGGCAAGGGCGGAGCAGCTGGCGGCGGAGCTTGGGGTCGCGTCGGTTCCCGCCTGAACACGGCGGCCCCCCGCGCGAAGCCCGCAAGGTTGTCCCAACGACTTGCTCCCGCGTCCAAGCGGCCTGGCCCACGGGGTTGCCCTGACGGTTTCGCGATCTTGCCGTCGGAGAGCGCGCTCCTGCCAGCCAGCCGAGGCGGCGACGGCGCCGAGAAAAATCTACATGCGCGCCCTTGAAGAAGTGGCGGGGGGGAGGTGGATGGGGGAGAAGAGGCAGGAGGACAAGGAGGAAGCAGAGCAGGTGGCGGGAGGAGGGTCTCCGCCAAGGCGAAAAGGAAAAGGGCGATGAAAACACAAGGGGGGAGCAGTTGCACCACTCACCAGGACGACGATGTGGAATCCTGTGGTAATAATTAGGGAGATTATCACGCGGTCTCCTACCGCCTGATTTGATTATGTTTTTATCTCCCCCTGGGCTCCTCCGATATCCCTCACCAGAATATCATTGCGTCAGGCCGCTACAAAAAGGAATCCTTGTGTAAGGTCACCACAATGGCAAATCCTGATGTAAGGCCGCCAGGACGGGAATCCTTCTCTGTTGGGCTGCAACAAAGGAACTATGGTCGAATACCGCCACACCTTCCATCCTTGTGTAAAGCAACCGCACACGCAATCCTGTTGCAAAGCCGTCACAAGACGACTGCAAGTGCAATGCCGACACGAGGAGGAGCGACGACGACGACGACGAGCGAAAACAATTGGTGAACATATCGTAAGGGTACTTGCGCGGTTGCACAAATGCATATTTCAAAATGCTTAGTTAAGACACGTCCGGGGCGGAGAAACGGAACTATTGGATCGGAGGCGAATATGGCGCCATGGAAAAATACGGTCCCAATGGAACACCCACTAAGCGCCACCTTGTCGCAAATGAGACCCAATAAGCAGGTGTTGCCATACAACACGACAGACAGGAGGGATGAGGGCGGAGGAAAAGGGAGTCGCCTCCTGTGCCTCCTGATCGGAACTCGCTAAAATCCTGTCCACAAACTCCTCTCAGGATCAATTCCGGGTGCCTCTTAATCCTGGACATATATGAGACCGTGGGGTCGGAAACAACTTGAGATAGGCTGGGAATTGCGAAAATCATCTTCGAACTTCCTTGGCCTTCCTCGGCCTCCTCCAACGACGACCGACCGACGACGACGACGGACAACGAACAGGATCAGGACCAGAACCAGGACCACGACGACTACGACGACCACGACGACAACGACCATGACCACGACGATGACGACAACGACCACGACAACGACCACGACGACGATGACCACGACGACGACGACCGACGGCGCGAGAGCAGCGACAGGGCCTGTGTACTGCATGCCGGTGCAGAACTCCCCGAAGAAGAAAACCGAACACAGGATGAGGCCGATGGACCTCGCCTGCGAGAGCGCCACGGCCATCCCCGTTCTTGCCCTCCTCCTGCAGCTCCTCCCCAATGCTCGTCATCATCCCTCTCCTCCTATTCCTCCTCCTCCTCCTGCATCTCGACGGCCTCTTCATCCCCTCCTCCTCCTGCGTCTCGTTCTCCTCTTCCCGGTGGAGTCGTCCTACTCCCTTTGGTCAGCCCCTGCCTCCTCCTCCTCCTCCTCCTCCTTCCACCTCCATCCTCCACATCCTTTTATCCTCCTCCTTCTCCTCCTTCTCCTCCTCCCTCTCGTTGGCCCCTTCGTCCTCCGCCTCCTCCTCCTCATGCTCCTCCTCCAGAATCCCGGGTCCTCCAACGGCCTCTTGGGGCAATCACCTTCGGAGTCCTCAGGAGACCCCCTCCTCATTCTCCTCCTCCTCCCCCCCCGTCCACCCTTCTTGATCCCCCCACTCACCTCGTCCTTCGTCGTCATTCCACACATGACGCCCGAAGCATGATAAGTCAAAGAAGAACAGGAGGGACTGACGAAAATAAAGGGCAACGGAGCGCAACGTTTCTGTATGTGTGAGTGCGGGACCCATCAATTTTGGATCGCTTCCCGTTCAATCACTCGCGACGGTGCTGTCACCTCGTCAGAAGAGTGTGAAATGTGTGATTCCGAAGAGGAAAGCAACAAGTGAGAGCGAGAGAGAGAGAGAGTCACAGAAAGAGAGCGAGAAAGAGAGAGAGAACATTCATAATTAAACAGAGGGGGCGCGATGCACTACTGTGTAAAGGTGCAGGCACATGGAAACACATACGCACATGATACACACGTACCTCTAGATAGAGACGGGAGAGACAGCAACATGCATAAACAAAATAATGAAACACTCGTGGCATTGCGACTTGCAACCGGTATGGAATAATGAAGTTGGGGATGGTTTTGTTCATTATTTCCCCGTGTGTTGCAATGGGGTGCCAGTGTCATGTTTGCCACTGGCTTCTCGGCGTGATGAAGCGACCACCATAACAACGCACCAACAACTTCCACACTAAGGCGTGTCTGTGTTGACCTTCTCCTGTGTGTTCCGCCTCCCTGCCGCCACCCCTGCTCCAACTCTCCTCTTTTTGCCAAATGTCCACCGTTAAATCAATCGGCGTCACGTCGCGGAACCAAACGGGACCCATCTGGGCACAATCAGAAACCAATCGGGGAACTAGCAGGACACAGTATGAAATGAATTGAGGCGCCAATCGGAAGACCGTCTGGCGGTTTCTGGAAACCCCGAACCATAAAATGTTGTCATCTCTTTGGGGGTACACCTTTTACATCCGCCACCTGTGGGCATTCTTCCGCCGCCCTTCCGCCAACTACCGCCGGCGGAGGCGGCCTCGTTTTACTTCTGCCGCCCATCAGCCGCCTTCCGCCGAGGAAGAGATGACAACTCCTTCGATCATCGAAGGCGAGGCCCTTCCTGCAACGCCTCAGATGGCTTGAAGCACCATCGGAAAAAAGTCGGGGCGACATCGGAACACAATCGACACGTCAATGGGGACACCCACCAGGGCACCACTGTGTCGGCGGGCGCAAGCGGGCCGAGGTCGGCGCAAGTGCCGTGCGAGAACAGGGCGGGGCGCGCTGGAAGCGAACTGGGGCACGGCGGGACGCGGGACCTTAGTTCGGACTCCGCCGGGCGCCGCAGCACTTGCAGGCCGACGTTTCGCGAAAGGCAGCCTGGCTGGGTGCCACGCGCCTCTGGCTACCGGGACAAGGCCGCACGTGTGCGTCCTCGCCAGTGGAGGCTGGTGTGGAATATCCTCCAGCAAGCGGGACGCGGGAAGAGAGGAGGGAGGGGGAAGCGGGTACGCTCAGATCGTGAAGACCATCGCGGGCGTGCCAAAGAGGTGCCCGAGCGCGGGTGCGCGCGGCTGTGGGGAGCAAACCAGGTCAGGCCGGGGACCTGTAGACCGTGAAATGGTAAACCTTGAACCGGTACCCGAAGAGCACACAGTGGCCGAAGGCACCGAAACCCTCGGGGGAAACACGCGATGCCAGCGCAAATGGAAGGCCACTCCATCGGGATGTCATCGAGACTCCATGGGCAACCGACGTCGGCACACTCGCCACCAGCATCGAGACGATATTGGGACACAATCAAGCATCAATCAGGGCGCCATCGGGGCACGGGCCCGATTGAAAAACCGGCTGGACACCATCGGGACACAAGAGTTGTGATTGGCTGATGGGGGGGCACAGGCAGCATTTCTGAACAAGAAATAGTAATGGCTTGGGTTCGGGCGGAGGGAAAGTTATAAACTCGAGTCCGAACGCCACGTGAAGCTAGAGCTCCAAAAAGATCAGAAGTCCAGGGGCAATGCGAAAACAAAAGATGTGTTGACAAAGTTCGGGAACACTATTACAAAAACAAGTCGTCAAATAATATTGAACCGAGTTCAACAGTTCGGAGAAATTGGGAACAATTTGTTGAGAACTCGAAAACAATTCGGGAACTCAAGAAAATTCAAAACCGCTCTGGGTGTTCCGCACTTCCTGCCGCCGAGCTTATCAAATCGTTCCCCGGACTTCAAGGCTATAGCAACGTCGAACTTGAACTTTGTACTAAAGCATTGGCTTCAATGTTTCGCGGAGTTCGATCCTTGTAACACAAGTCCCGCTCGCGCACCCTCAGCCAATTATAACACCAGAAGAACACCATCGAGACACCAGGGCAAAGGCCGACGCTTCCCGCCCGACGTGCGATCGGGGTGAGAAACAAACGTCCCCGCCATCCGCCCTCCCTGATGACTCCGGGATCTCGCACCCAGCCTCGTACGCAGGCGCGCCACTAACGACGTGAACACGAACTTACAATTCGCGGAGGGTCGATTTCAGTTCAGCGTCTACGCCTTCAAATCAGCTCCCAGCAAATACAGAGCGAGGGAGGGAGGGACAGTGAAGGAGACCAAGAGGAAGAGAGAGAGAGAGAGAGAGATAAAGACATAGCGACGGAACCCTGTCTTACTGAGAGAGGAGGAAACAACGGCCCGTTGAACTTATTGCATCGGAGCTGGGCCCCCCACCCCTGGCGGGCGGAGCGCGCCAAGTGGCGGCGCAAAAGGCGCCGCAAATTCGTGCGGACCTCCGGAAGCTTGTTTCCATATAGTCTCTCCCCTTCGGATATAATCTGGGAGCCTTGGCGCTGCTTCTCTCCTCCTCGTCGCAAGGGCGCCGAACTTCGCGCTTCGCGCTGCGCGAAGCGCGAGCAACGCCGTGCCCTTGCGCGGCCCCCCAGGGGGCAAAAGGAGGATGAGGAGGAATCGGAACCGAACCGCGAAGCGTGAAAAACTTCACGCCCTCGAGGGCGCCCTTGTCGTTTGGTCTTGTTTGCGGCCCGCGGGCGGTGTCCTGTGTCACGACCTTCAGCGTCAGTGCCCCGGCCAGCTTCACGAACCTGAGCAGAGGCGGAGAGCAAAACGATAGAGAATTGAGGCGGATGTGGTGACTACCCGTCGGCTGGAAGAGGTGGGTAGAAACATGAACTAGGACGGCGTTGGAAGCAGATTGGACTTCTGCCCGCCCCCTGAAGAGGAGGGAAAAAGGAAAACCGTTCGACTTTTGAAGTAGGGAGGGGTCTAAAAGTAGACTGAGACTTGGGCATTGAATAATATCCACTTTTAACGACCGGCGGATACCGCTTCCTCAAATTCGGATGACTTGTGTGGCGTCTGGGGGTTGAACATGTGAAGCTGTAGAACTGTGTCCCTGCATATGCTATCAGAAGCGCGTGCGCAGAATAACGGCGCACCAATTGCGCGTCGGCCATGGGCGAGATGTGTTCCCTCCTCTTCCGCCTCCCCCCGCTCCTCCTCCCCCCCTCCTCCTCCTCCCCCTCCTCCTCCTCGCTCCTCCTCCTCCTCGCTCCTCCTCGCTCCTCGCTCTTCGCTCCTCCTCCTTCTCCTCCTCCTCCTCCTCCTCCTCGCTCCTCGCTCCTCGAGGAGCAGGGCTGGGTGGTGGCAAGAAAAGCGGGCAGACGACCAGAGGAGCGGAGCCGGCCGGGAGCGAGACGAGGCGCACGGACAAGGCAGGGAGGCGGGTGCCTGCCCACCAGGCCACCCGGACCCAAGCAGAAGACCCACATGACGATCGAACGACACGCACCCATACTCATAGGGGGGACGGAGGAGGCTATGGATGCGTGTTGTCGGATGGGGGTCCCCGCTCGAACGGAAGCTTCCCCCAGGGTCCGACAACTCGCACCCATACCCATAGCCAGTTCCCCTCCTGTCGACCCTCCTATGGGTATGGGTGTGAGTTGCTCGCTCGTCACCACACTTCGGGCTGGGGGGGCGTACGGGTTCCACCTGTGTTTTTCCAATGTTCCCCGACGCCCCCCCCCCCCGCCCACTGGGCTGGAGGGCAAGTGGGGGCCTTCGGCTTGGGCCGGAGTGGGCTGGTGGGTGGTGAGAGGGGAGGGAGGGGGGGGGATGTTCAGGCGAAACATCTGTTCTCGCAGCGCAAGGCAATTGGGCACTCACTAGCCCGGGTCAGCCAGGGCCCTGTCGCGAAGCCCGGCCGGCTGCTTAATAGCTCACAAGCCCACGCCAGCGGAGGGCGGACAGGGGGAATCGGCCCTACGTGGCTCCCAATCCCAGGTCAGCCAGGGGGGATTGGTTGACCCCCGTTTGCGCTGATCCCCGATACGTGAGCTCCGAGCCCACGCCCCACCCGAGGACTTCCCGAGTCAAACAAGTAAGCATCCTGGCAGCAACCTCAACAGACGTAAACAGCCAAAACATCCTGGAGGGGCAGGTTAGGGAGAGAAGGATGCGGAGGAAGAGGAGGAGAACAAGGAGGAAGACGAGAAGGATGACGTAATTTTGGATCAAGCTCTTCCCTTCTCAAACTTGCTGACGCCACGAGCTTTCAGCAATCCATGCTCTCGGGCTCTTCAAGTGGATGCCCAACTAAAAAAACCCTCAACGAACGCATGACAACAACAACCCTATCGCGGTAGGGCCAACGGTTTTCGTGTTCATTGCCTGCTGGACACTTGTGACACCCAGTGGACGTGGAACTGCGCATGACGTGCTGTTACTATTGCACTACCCCTGGCACCATGTAGCTAATGCCAAGAACACGCGTCGTTACAACCAAGAGATGCGCGGCAGTAGCAGCGTGCTAACGGACCCGACGGCAGCGTCCAGCCCACGCCCCAATCAACCATCGAGGCCTGTTCGGCAACATCCTAACGGAGACGACGATAAACTCCTCCAAGCGCTGGTGGCAATGCTCTGCCCCAATGGGCAGGCCTCGCCGCAACAAAGGACCATCATGGAGGCAGCGGTATCTTGGGCGGGCAATGCCGTCAGGAACGTTTGCTTAGAGTGTCGCGCCGGCGGCCCCAGCAACTCGCTATGCCCTACGAGCTGCTAGCGTGTCGCTGCGCTTCGCGGCGCGGGGGGATGGAAAGAGTTGGAGACGTTGACGCCGAGTGACGGGGACGTGGTTAGCGTGTCGCTCCGAAGCGTTTTGGTCAAGAACCGGCTGCGCGACACGCTAAGCAAACGTTCCCGACCGTAGCCGCAGGTGCGCTGAGAAGGCCCAGGGCATGGCGGCCAGTATGCTCACGAATGCACAAGCTTGGCTGGCAGAGGAACACAGGCCGAAGCATCCGACGCGGTGAAGCGCTCGGCGGTGCCGCAGCCAGACCGGATCCGAACACTACCAAATGCCAGAAAAACAACGTCAAAGGAGCCGCTCACTGTGGCCTCCAGCGTCAAACAATCACCTCCCCACTGCTGGCGGCTATGAAGGATGCGGGCTTTATTCAGCTTGCTGGCGATCAAGAACCCGTCGTACAATGCGAGAGCTACGGGCGAACAATGTTCGGCCCGCTTCTCGGGGCGACATGTGATGAAAACAAACTTACACATTGTGTCAGGGCCGCCATTTGCCACTAAGTGGTGGACAAACATAAGATAATATAGTAGACTGATTCCTGGCCCCGAAGTCACCACAAGCAAACTCTCGGGCGCCTCCGCGAGAAAACAAGACGGAGCCATAAGCGGCCCCCAAAATAGCCTCAGGATGCCCCCCAAGACTCCTCTCAACGCGGCAGCAGGAAGGTCCCGAACGGCCTGTAGTTCCCACAAAGAACGCGCAATATTAGCCCCAAGACAACCCAAGACCGATCCGACAAGCATGTCCTACTTCTGAGAACGCAGTCGCGACCACTATACTATGGCCAGTCGTGGCAATGGGTTGCAAGACGTAGACCCTATAGGCGTATACCTACATGTTGTCACTGCCATACTCTTCCCGCGCCCCTCCTCCCCCATCCATTCATGTTTTCCCGTCTGTCCTGTCCCCAGTGCTTCCCGCTCCCGCCTCGTCCAGATGACATTTAATCTGGACACTTTCAGATTTGCGGCACGCCATGTACATGTAGGTATATGAAACCGTGAAAATGTAGCATTTGGAAAATGATTCCCAGAACTCTACACGCGAACTCTCAACACTAGAACTTCCACGCGATACCCGCAATACTCTTGAAAGCTGGGCACCAGGTCGGCAAGCCAACGAAACTTTTACAACACATACGAACAAATCGTTAGTCTGCAGAAGCCACCAGGACCCTCTGAACTCACGGCTCTCCAAACCTCCACTCCGACCTTTCTGACTTCTGATCTGTCTGCGCTCTCCACGGAGGTCGGTGGACGATGGCCCAGAGTTCTGATGAGTTGTTTCTGCTCGACGGGGTTCCGGGGAGTCCCGACCCTTCCACCAAGGACGGCTTTTCGTCACAAGCCATTCTGACAGCCCCCAAACGCAGAACCCTTGTCAACATCTTTGTATTGTATTATCGCACATATTTTAAAAATGGTCCTGGGAGGCGAGGGGGATGAGGAGGATGCGGAGGAAAAGTTACCTGGACCGGCCGCCGATGCCGGTTCTCTGGCGCGGGGAGGGGCTCGACCAGAAGCTGGAGAGCACGATTGCGCCTGTGGACAACATGTTGGCGAAGAGGAGCCTGCGGCGGCCGGGGGAATGTCCGCGGCTCTCCTCCCTGCTCCCTCTTCTCTCTGCCTTCATCCTTCCTCCATCCTCCCTCTTCCTCCTCCCTCCCCACTTCTCTTCGCTTATCCTCCCTCCTCCTCTCATACCCCTCACCTCTTTACCCTGCTCGTCTCACCACTTTTCCCGCTCATCGACCTCCCCCTCCTCTCCACCTCCCTTCGTCGTCCACGTCCTACTCTCCTCTCTCCCACCCCTCCTCCTCCTAGTCCTCTTCCTCTTCCTCCTCTTCCTCCTCCTCCTCCTCCTGCTCCGCCTGCTCCTCCCCGCCTCCTTCACCCCGTGTCCTCCTCCCGCAGAGGGGAGGGGCCGGGGCGGACCACCTGCGCCAATAGACGTTTGCTGTCTTCAACCCTGGATGGGGCGCAGAAAGTCACTTTGGTACCATATGCGTCACCCTTGAGGCGCACGCCCGGACTGGACACGTGGGGCAACCATCGTAGAGCACATTGCTACCCGGGCGGGAATGCCAGAAAACGCCCCCCCACGGATCATAGACCAAAAGATCTCAGAACTCGCACGTCGCCCCCGGGGGGGGGGGGGGGGCGCCCACATGACAGGGGAATGCCTCGGCACTGCTGAGCAAACCTCGCAGCGCCCACCAGAAAACACGACGGCCCAGGGGCGTCCAGGAGGGTGGCGTCCAAAAAAGGGGGTGCGCCTCGTGGCCCGCGGCGCGTGTGCGGACGACAGGGGCCAGGGGACGCGTTGAACAGCTAGAAGATCGCATGGCCCTTGTCATGAGATCTCCGGCCCCCCCGCACTCTAGCTACACCCCCTCCTCTCGGACGGCGCGAATTTGGGGCAGTCCTCGACGTGGGGATCTATTGACCAAGGTCAATGCAACCCCGAGTCAATCAAGTTTTGCAAGATCCAGCCGAATCCTGCGAGATCCCGCCAAATCCTGCACGCAAGCCCGTGTCAGTGCACCCCTGGCTCTGCAAGATCCTTCAAGATCCGGCGCTCTGGCTGACCCCGTTTAAGTCGACCCCCGTCCCAAGGCTCCCGATCAAATTCTAAGGGCCTTTACCCGGCCCCGGGGCCCTGATGGCCATGGGAAACTGGTCAGGACCTCCTGGGGCCAATACGTCGGGCCCCCGGGGCCGAAACCACACTGGCGGCGCGCGGAAATGAGTATGGGGAAGGAAGGAAGGAAGGAAAACACCAGCAGGAGGCCAAAATCTGGTCAAGACAACCCGCCCTCTGAATGGCCGTGCTGTCGCCGCCTCCTTGGGCGTGGCGCATCCCCCGCAGACCCGCCCTCGGGGTGAGGGCATTTCCGCTGGACGCTCAAATCCAATTAAGCGAAGGGTAGGGGAAGGGAGAAGGCGTCTTGAAAGCAGGTTGCTTCTTAGGAAGGCGCGGGCCTTACATCTACAAACAAGGATTGCGCTTTCTAGTGCGCAGTGGTGTTTCTAAGAAGCCTTCCCCCTCCCCCTACCCCCCTCTGCGCGTGGCAGACCACAGCCGCCACCAAAGGAGACTCAAACGAGCGGAGCGGAGCGGTGCCACTACTGGGCACCGAAGTACCACCGCCCAGGGCCCAGGGCGCAGGAGGCCGTGACCTCAGATCCTGTGGGCGCCGAAGGTGTGGGCACAACGCAGACCTTGCTTTTCTGGGTCCTTCCGCTCTGCCATGACGTAGGCGCGACTCCCGAACAACGACAACATCATGGGACACTCATGCCGGCAGTCGTCGTCAGTCCATGAAGCAACCAGCGCGAGGAAACTGACTACCTACCAGACCACCCCAACCCAACCCGAAGACCCGAATTTCGGGTTTGGGGGGGTAAGGGTTCCACGCGTGTTTTTTCAATGTTTCCCGACCCCCCCCCACTAGAAATCGAGGGTAAATCTGAGCCTTCGGGTTGGGTTGGGGTGGCTTGGTGGGTGGTGAGAAACCGAGGGCAGAGTGAGGCCTTCGGCGTCGGGGACGCCGCAGGGCACCCCGTTGCGCACGGCGCCGGCGGCGGCCAGGGGGACCTCGTGACAACTCTCGGCGGCGGGGCCGCGGGGCCGCAGGCGCACCCGTCGCCGCGGGATCCTCGATCCTCGATCCTCGATCCTCGATCCTCGATCATCCTTCTCCTCCTCCTCCTCCTCCTCCTCGTCCTCCTCCTCCTCCTCCTCCTCTTCCTCCTCCTCCTCCTCCTCCTCCTCCTCCTCCTCATGGCGATGCCAGGGCGGCGCGCCATCACCTGCAGCTCACCCCGGTGCCGTGCCCCCTTTGTCCGAAGGGCGTCACCACAGTCTGGGGCCTGCGGGCGTTCGCCAGCAGGCTGGCGAACGCTCAACATATAGGTGAGCAGGGCTCCGTGGGACTGCCAGCGACTCGGCCCAGGCCGAGGGGTCGCCCACGGGGGTGCGACTTCACTCGCTCTGCACTCCTGCTCTCTCCCCGTCCCCCCGCGGCTTCGCTCCTCCATGGTTAGAAGGGCGATGCTGCGTCGCGTTGTGCCTTGTACAAGCAGCGTCTGTTCAAAAAACATTGGCCGTCAGTGGGTCCCCGTCCACCTCGTTCAGTGACCAAACGCCATCAAGACTGTGTAGTATACTGGTATATCCCATCTATTATGCCCATCGTTTCTTTTCATTCTCGGCGGGAGCCCCACAACCATGCCGTTGAACTGGTAGTGGTAAAGCTGCTTGGCCTCCATGCCACCCTGCGCGGCGGCGGCAAAGCGCTTGCTCTGCCGAGATGGGCGGGGGGGGGGCAGAGAGAGAGGGAGAGAGACAGAGAGAGACAGAGGACAACAACACATACATAACGATAGATGCATGCATACACACATACATTCATCCAGCCCCTAAGTTATATAGAGAGATAGGGAGGGGATACATGTATATATACACATACATATACACATGTATATATATATATATATATATATATTCCTGGTAGGGTTCTCTGGTGGTCCGCGGGTCCCCTGGGCCACGGACGGTGAACGATCTACACTGTTCCCGCGGCAGCCGGCCCATGCCAGAAGCCGAGCGGCGAAGGAGGCCACGAGAAGGCGCGAGGCGGCGGCTATCAGATTAAAGAAGTGCTGCGGCGACACCGGCGGATTACCCTACAGGGTCAAACCGGAACTCAAATGAAGAAAGAGCCAACATCGGGTCGCAGCTAGGAGGCAGGAGAGGCAGCGAAGGGGAATGAGAGAGAGGTGTATATATAAGAGAGAGCGTGATCCACCGCCGCTTTACGATGGAAAATTGCAAACTTTTTCCTCCGGAACCCGGGGGTCCGCCCCCCCCCCCCCCCCTCCGAAAATCCCCCCCCCCCCTGCTGGAACCCCTCCCCCCCCCCCCCCCCCCCCCCCCCCTCCCCGGCAAAACCCCCCCCCTCCCCTAACCCCTCCCCCCCCCCCCCCCCCCCCCCCCCCCTCCCGCTCGAAAACCGGGGGGGGTCACTACCGGTTCGAACCCCTCCCCCCCCCCCCCCCCCCCCTCCGATCCGGAAAACCGGGGGGGGTCACTACCGGTTCGAACCCCCCCCCCCACCCCCCCCCCCCCCCCCCCCCCCCCCCCCCCCCCCCCCCCCCCCCACACCGCCAGCAAACGACTCCCGGTCCCCACCACCGTCCGCATCACATCCCCCACTGGTGTTCCCAGCACCACTGTCCTCACCACCGCTGTCCCCACTGGTTCCACCACCGCCCCTACTGTCCCCACCAGTGGCCCCACCACTGTCGCACTGTTCCCGCTGTCCCCAGAACTGTTCCCACCACGGTTCCACTCTCCCTGTTCTCCCCACGGCCCCAACTCACCGCCAGCAAACGACTCCCGGTCCCCACCACCGTCCGCATCACATCCCCCACTGGTGTTCCCAGCACCACTGTCCTCACCACCGCTGTCCCCACTGGTTCCACCACCGCCCCTACTGTCCCCACCAGTGGCCCCACCACTGTCGCACTGTCCCCGCTGTCCCCAGAACTGTTCCCACCACGGTTCCACTCTCCCCACTGTCTCCACGGCCCCAACCACTGCCCGACTATCCCCACTGTCCCCACTGTCCCACTGACTCCTCCGCTGTCCCACTGAGCTGTCCCACTGTTCCCACCACTGTCCCCACTGTCCCCACCACTGTCCCCACTGTACCTCTGTCCCATTGTCCCACCGCCGTCCTCGCCACCGCCTTCACCACTGTCCCCACCACCATTGTACCCTCCACTGTCCCACTGTTTCCACCTCATTCCCATTGTCCCCACACCACTGTCCCCACCACCACCGTCACCACCACTGTCCTCTGTCCCCCCCTGTTCCCACCATTGTCCCCACCACTGTCCCCACCACTACCGTCCCCACCACTGTCCCACTGTCCCACTGTCGGCACCACTGCCCCGCTATCCCCTCGCCACTGTCCCCACCAACACCGTCCCCACCACTGTCCGCACCCCCACTCGGTTTTCGAGGGAGGGGGGGTTCGAACCGGTAGTGACCCCCCCGGTTTTCCGGATCCGGGGGGGGGGGGGGGGAGGGGTTCGAACCGGTAGTGACCCCCCCCTTTTCATGATGAGCAGGGGGGGGGGGGGGGGGGGAGGGGTTCGAACCGGTAGTGACCCCCCCCGGTTTTCCGGAGGGGGGGGGGGGGGGGGGGAGGGGTTCGAACCGGTAGTGACCCCCCCCGGTTTTCCGCCAGCAGCGGTAGAACACGCTCTTTCATATATAAATAAGTATATATATATATAGAGAGAGAGAGAGAGAGAGAGAGAGAAAAAAAAAGAAAAAGAAAAAAGGAGGAAGCGAGAGACAAATAATGGAGGGAGGGGGCAATACAGTGTTCCCGCGATCACTGATCAGGAGCGGACAGCGTGTCTGACAGCGTGGCTGGCCTGCGGTCCATCTTGGGCACTTCTCTTGTGGTCTCAGAACCATTTCGGGGCGGGCCCCGGCAGCAAGGCCATCCCATGCAAAGTCGTGGCCCCCGGTCCCCCGGCCCCCGGGTCTTGTGAATAGATGCGTTTTACATGTGTATATGTACACACATATGTGTGTATAAAAATATATACAGCGAGAGAGAAAGAAAGAGAGAGAGAGAGAGAGAACGAGAGAGAAACAGCCAGGGTATATATATATACACATACATATATATGTATACACACATACCTACACTCAAAACTTCTGTTAATAAATATGCCAGTAACCACGAAGTTGAGATCCAGCTTCGCTGAATTTCTTAGCCCTCTTGCGAGAGCCAGCTTTGAATCATGCAATTTCTTAGCGCAGCGCGGCGCCAGTTTAGGTGGTTTCGATAAATATTGCGCCGGTGATGATGTCGATTGCGGGGCCGGGGGCTCTGCAGCAACGTATGAAACACAACATCCAGGACCATGTGGAGAAAAATGTGGCGGGGGATCTGGACGAAGACCGGCGGGAAATCTAAAGGAAAATCAGGGGAACATCTACACTAGAGGAGAGATCTCGAGGAAGACCCCGGTGAAGATCTGGGTGAAGATCTTGACGAAGATTCGGGGAAGATCTGGGGGAAGATCTGGAAAAACATATGGAAGAAGATCTGGGGGATATGTAGAGGAGAGATCTCGAGAGAGACCCGGGTAGATCTGGAGGAAGATCTGGGGAATATCTAAGAATATCTGGGGAAGGTCTGGAGGAAGATCGGGGGGAGATCTAGGGGGAGGTCAAGAGGAAGGTCTCGAGGAAGATCTGGGAGAAGATCCAGATGATCCGGAGGAAGATCAGGAAAAAGATGCTAGCGTTAAGAAACAGGGCCAGCTTTTGGGAAATCGCTACCGAAATTAAGAAATTGTCAGACCCAGCTTGGCGGGAGAGAGTTTCTTAACAGAGAGAGAGAGAGAAAGAGAAACAAACAGAGAAAGAGAGAGAGACAGAGAGAGAACTAGGGTGGAGAGGGAGCGTGCTGCAACGGGGGGACGTGAGGCTGCGGCTGGCGGCGCCACGAAGACCACGGCGAGTAGCACGAACGTGGGGCTGGAGTAGTAGATTCCTGCAAGGCCCAGCTTCCAGAATCTGCTGCCTCCTACTCCTCCTCCTGCTGCTCCTCCTCCTCCTCCTCCTTTGCCTCCCTCTCTCAGCTATTCTTCTTCCGCTCCCTTCTTCTGCCTCCTCTTCCTCTCCTGCTTCTTGATCCCACCTCCTGGCTCCTCCTCCTCCTCCTCCGCCTCGTCCTCCTCGTCATCCCTCCGTCATCCCGTCAAGCCCGAACAAGATCGAATCGGATCGTAGGCGGCCCGCCCAGCTTCTCGCATCGCTCGGCGCTCTAAGGGGGTGGGAATCGGAGCAGCTCTGGCCGTCAGTCGGGCCAGGCTCTCGCGTTTACGGCTTTTTTGGCCCGCGACGGCTGCCAGGGGAAATGGCGGCTTGCACAGGTCCGAGTCCACGCACGAGCGGTTCCATGAGAACGCGCACTAGCCAAAACACATACAATCAACACGCCCGAAAGACGCCCAGGAACAGGAGCAGGTGCCAAATGTTGCCCTCGACCCTGTTCAGCATTGCGCCTGCTCCGGGGCTCTAGGTTCGTGTTAACCCATTCCTCCTCTTCCTCCTCCTCCTCCTCCTCCTCCTCCTCCTCCTCTTCTTGTCCTCTCCTCGGGCCAGGGGAAATTGGGAAGGATGGGGAAAAGCACTGCTCTGGATTTCGTTTCAGGGGTTCACGGAGTGGCCGCTGGTATTCATGCAGCAGGGCGCTCGGAAGCGAGCACAGCGGGCGTCAACCCCTCACCTCTGGATCATCACCAGCGCAGAGCAGCGGTCGTGCCATCTCTGCCCCTGAGTCGACAGAGATGCCCGTCGAGACGGAGGGTGACGAAGTGGAGGGGAGGCGCGCAGGTGGGAGGCACGGCCGCCCTCTCGCGGGTCTCCGTCGAAGAGCGTCATCTTGTCCATCAGGACCTGGCTGATGACGGTCTTGGCAGCCTGCAGGCGATCGACATCGTGTGCATGCCCCTGCTTGCGACCCCGACCCCACGAGCAGCCAGAGCGGGGATTGGGACTGATGCCTGGCTTCCGAGGCCACGTTTTTGAACTATCCATGCCATGCTTCCCCTGGCGCGCAGGGTGGGGAGCAGCAGCAGGGGTATGGATCGAGCGTCGATCATCGAGCCTGGACAGTTCGGGTCGGGCGAAAGGGGGGGATAGCAAAGGGGAGGTTTCAGAATCAGCTCACGTAGCTGATTTTCCCGGCGCCTCCCGGCGCCGGAGGCAGCTATGTATCGAGGAATGGGCCCCTCGGTGAGGCCGAAACCAGCTGCATGCAGCAAATTTCGTAACCCCCCCTTTCCCAATCCCCCCCTTTCGTCCGGCCCGAGCAAGGGTCAGGCCGTTGGTGGAGCCAATCGCAGAAAGCCCAGAGATCCGATGTCCCAGCTATTTCAAAGCGACCCCCCCTGAGAAGTCGCAACCCTTGCCTCTGATCTGGCTTTCCATCATGAGTCGTCGTGTTGACGGTTCCGACGCCTGGAAAGGGCCTTCAGATCTCGGCCGGAAGCGACAACATAAGTCCGTGTTGATTGGTCAAGGTGTTGCCGGTCTGAGAGGGCGACTTGGAGGACCAACAACAAAGAGCAAAGATGAACCTAGCCAAATCATCCGCGACTGGAGATGTTTGGTAACGGATTCCGGGCGCGCCGAATGTCAGTCGCGAAGGGAGGGGGTTGAATCCTGCCAGCCCTTGGGGTCTAATGAGGTCTTCCGTTCCTCGTCCCAAACCCTCTTCCTTCGGTGGGGGTACCCTCTCCCTCCCCCCCCACAGCTGTTTTAGGGATTCGCGGTGTGTCAGGGGGTTCCTTGTTCGCACAAGATGGTTCCAAGAGGTCCCCCGATACTCCACGATGGCCTCCAAGGCCACCAGACGGCTCCAAGTGCTCTCGGAGTCCCCTTCAGGACCCCTTCCAAAGAAGGGACATTCCATCAACAACCTGACCAGACAAGAACGGGAAGCGTCATTTTGTGCCCTGGGCTTATGAGATATCCTACGTTCTTATTATGCGCTGTGCAAGTATGTCGTGACGTGCGCGCGTTTGCGCGTGCGCGTGCGTGCGTGGAATATGTGCATGTGCGTCCGTGCGTGGTTGTCTGCGGCACTGCTACGGTGTGCCGTGCTGCTCTGCTGTGCTCCTGCGGTCTGCGTGAACGTATGTTGCCTCACTGTGTGTGCGTGTATGTGTGTGTGTGTGCGTGTGTGTGTGTGTGTGTGCGTGTGTGTATGTGTCCGCGTGTGGGCGTGTGCGTGTGCGTGTGCCTGTGTGTGCGTGTGCCTGTGTGCGTGTGCCTGTGCGTGCGGCTGCGTGAATAGATGTTCTGGGTGTTTTGCCGTGCGCCTGCGTGTTCTGCCGTGTTCCTGTGTATTCTGCCGTGTTCCTGAATGTTATGCCATGGTCCTGCTCCGCCGTGCTTCTATGTGTCCTGCCGTGCACCTGCGTGTTCTGCCGTGCTCTGTGTGTTCTGCCGTGCTGCTGCTTGTTCTGCCGTCCTCCTATGCGATTTGTGTGTTCTGCCGCGCCCCTGTCTGTTCTGCCAAGCTCCTGTGTGTTCTGCCGTGCTCCTATGTATTCCGTGTGTTCTGCAATGTTCCTCGTTCTCCTGCGTGGTCTGCCGTGCTCCTGTGTGCTCTGCCTTACTCATGCGTGTTCTCCCGCGCTCCTGCGTGCTCTGCCGTGCTCCTGCGTGTTATGCGGTGCTCATGTCTGTTCTGCGGTGCTCCTATGTTCGGTGGGTTCTGCCGTGATTCTGCGTGTTCTGCCGTGTACCTATGTATCCCGCCGTGCTCCCATGTATTATGTGTGTTATGCCGTGCTCTGCCGTGCTCCTACTCCTGTGTGCTCCCCTGTGTTCTGCCATGGCCCCAAAAGTTCTTTGTCTGCCGCGCTCATGCGTGTTCTTCCGTGCCTTTGCTTGGTCTCCCGTGCTCACGCATGTTCTGCCGTGGTCCTGCGTGCTCTGCCGTGTTCCTATAAACTGTTCCATGCTCCTGCGCGGTCTGGAGCGATTCTGCGTGTTCAGCCGTGTTTCTACGTGTTCCGCCGTGTTCATGTGTATGCTGGGTGTTCTGCCATGCTCCTCGTGATCCTACGTGGTCTGCCGTGTTCCAATGTGTCCTGCCGTGTTCCTGTGTGTTTTGCTATGCTCACGTGTAGTCGTTGGGGATCTGTCATGCTCCTGCGTGTTCTGCCGTGCTCCTGTGCGTTCTGCCCTGCTCCTGTGTGTTCTGCTATGCTACCGTGTATTCGTTAGGTTCTGCCATGCTCCTGCGAGTTAAAGTTAAATTTAAAGACGAGGCCTTCAAGGCAAGCGGTGGCCAGGAAAACAGGGACAAGGCCAGACGGGACACACGTTCCCGAGAGAAGCCGAGTCCCCAAGCGAGCACCGAGGGCGACGGAAGCCTACTCACCACGGGGAGCAGCTGGCGCGAGCCTCACCGATGCACATCTTTCACTCACTCACGGCCTCTCACTCACCGAAGCCCACTCACTCACTGCACCATCGCGAAATCGTGACGTTCGGTCGACTTCAGGGCGCTATTCGAGCCATATGTGGGTCATTTTGGGGCTCGCATTTCTTCATCTTGAAGCACTTCAGGAACGATGTCAAGACGATATTGTGACAACATCTCATTCTGTTGAGGGTGCCCCCCAAGGAAACGCAAATGTTCTGCCGTGCTCTTTTCCCTACCTAGGCTCTGCCTAGAAGGGTTCTTACTCGGTATGCTTAAAGGGCCGGGCAATGCAACTCGCCCCGGGCGGTTCCCCCAGTATCCGCCCCGCGGTTCCCCCAGTTACGTCCCCTTAGCTTAGCGTTGCGTCTCTCATATTAGCTTGGCTTATTTCATCTTAGCTTAGCTTAGCTTCATCTTAGCTCAAACTTATCTTAGCTAGCTGACCTTCATCTTAGCTTCGCTGAGTTTCAGCGTAGCAGAGAACAGGATAGCATAGCATAGCGTAGCATAGCGCAGCGTCGCATATCATATCATTGGTGTAATTCCCTACCTAGGCTATGTTTGGAGGGTTAGCTTAGCTTAGCTTAACTTAGCATAGCGCAGCGCTGCATTAGCATAACATAGCATAGTATAGCATAGTCAAGCATAGCATAGCATAGTGCAGCATAGCATAGCATAGCATAGCATCGCATAGCGCAGCTCAGCATAGCATAGCTAAGCTTAAAAGACCGGGCATTGGGGCTCGCCCTGGGCGGTTCCCCCGGCATCCGCCCCGAGGTTCCCCAGGTGTCCCTTAGCTTCGCGTTGCTTATCTTATCTTAGCTTAGCTTTGTTCATCTTGCCTTAGCTTAGCTTTATATTACCTCAGTTGTAGCTTAGCTTAGCTTAACGTCATCTTAGCTTCGATGAGCTTTAGCATAGCAGAGCACAGCATAGCATAGCAGAGCGTAGCACAGCACAGCACAGCGCAGCATATCATAGCAAAGCCCAGCATAGCACAGCATAGCGCAGTATAGCATAGCATAGTATAGCATAGCGTAGCGCAACACAGCACAGCACACCGCAGCATAGCATAGCATAGCATAGCATAGCAGAGCATAGCACAGCGCAGCATGACATTGCATAGCTTAGCATAGGATGGCATAGCATATCATAGCATAGCGCAGCATAGCATATCATATCATAGCATATCATAGCAATTAATGTTGCTTTCCTAGGGGATCCAACTTCTAGGTAGGGTCGCACTGGGGTAATTTTGTTGGGCTTAGTCGTGCTGCCAATCATTTTCTGAGGATGTCCTTAGCGAGCGCGCTATTTCGATATAAAGTGTAGCAATACACCTCTGCCGACATCCCATTTTGGCTAGGATGTCCCTGGCGAAACGCCAATTTTTCTCCGAATCACGAAATTCGTGGCGATCAGTTGTTTGAAAACGTCTCGAGCGAAACGCTTCTTCTTGTTGATCGCCGTGTCGCGAAGATTTCAATGTTTCGAGATATGTCTCCAGCGAAATCGCGATTCTGAGAAACCTGAGCGGACAAGCGCGGGAAGCGTCGTTTGTGTCCACTTGGTATGTGAAGTATGCTATGTTGTTGGCCTGCCGCGCAGATATATCGTGGTCTCCGTGCGTTTGCGCGTGCGCGTGCGTGCTTGGAATCTGTGCATATGTGTCCCTGAATGGTGGTCTGCGGCACTTCTGTATTATGCCGTGCTGCTCTGCCGTGCTCCTGCGGTCTGCGTGAACGTATGTTGCCTCTCTGTGTGTGCGCGTGTGTGCCTGAATGTATGTGTCTGTGTATGCGTCTGCGTGTGCTTGTGCCTGTGTGTGCCAATGTACGTGTGCCTGTGGGTGCAGCTGTGTGAATACATGTTCTGCGTGTTAAAGTTAAAGACGGGGCCTTCAAGGCAAAGAGGTGGGCCAAAGGCCAAAGACACGCCAGCACGGGGGGGCCGCCTGGGGCCGCCGCCCGCGGGAGCCCCGCAGGGCCACCCACCCGAGAAGGGCCACCTTGGGCCTCCTCACGGACTCCCAGCGGGGCCGCCTTGGGCCACCGCTCCAAGGGAACTCGACTGCGACAGTACACAGGAGCCCCTCACAGCAGAGCGCGCCTCGCGTGCCTACACACCCAAGGGCAACACACGAGAGCGAACGATGCTTATGCCTTACTCACTCACTCGCGGACGGCGAGCTGCGGTGAGCCAGAAGGCGGCTGACCAACCGGCTCACTTGCTGCCTTCCGCTCGCCGTGCTGCTCGCGGCAGCAAGCCTCGCCGTCCCCACTGCCTGCTCAGCCGCGGGAGCCGCTGGGCCGCTGCTCGGGCTGCCGGCCGCGGTCGAGGCTCCGCCTGTAGGCTCCGCCTCACTGCCGAGCCACTCCAGGTAGAGCTCCAGTTGTGTCGAGCCACGGCGCGCCAGGCGGCGGCGGACCCTGCGGCTCATCAGGCCGCCGCTTGGCGCGGCGTCCGCGGCTGCGAGCTCCTCCTCTGCGGCTTCGCCAGTTCCGAGGGCGCCCGCACTCGGGCCTGGCCGCTGCAGGGGCAGGCTGGCCGCCGATGGCCGCCGACGCCTCGTCTCCCTGTACTGCTGCGGGAACCGCAGGGCCACTGCCCGAAATGCTGGCCGCGGCTACGGCTCCGCCTGAGCGCTCCGCCTCCATGCCAAGCCACTGCAGGTAGCGCTCCTGGGCGGGCCCTGGCACTGGCCCCTGCGAGCGCAAGGCAGGGGTGCCTTCTGCTCTGACGCCCTGCTTGCCCGCTCGCAGCCTGCCACCAGGATGGAGCCCTCGCTCCCGCAGGCTGCGCTGGTTCCTGCCCGACTTGTTCGTCAGGCGACTGGGCCCTGGGCACTGCGCCCTCAGGCGAGACTTGCCACCTGCGCGGCTGCCCAGCACTCTGTAGGCGCCACGCCTGGTGCACGCTACGATCTCCCGGGTGTCCTCGCCTTCGCCCGCGCAGGCGTGACCGAGCACGTGCCCCAGGACGCTGAAGGCGACAGCGGCGGCCGAAAGGGCGGCCGCGCCGCTCCCCGTCGAGCTGCTGCCCACAAGGCGGGCCCGCGTGGCAGGGGCGCCGCCGCCGAGAGCCTCTCCAGCCTGATGGGGCCCCGCTGCCGCCGCCGACTGCGCCTGGCCGATCCCGTCAGCAGGCGGGGGCCCCCCACCGCCCGGGGCCGAGCCAAATACGCACTGCTCGCTGTCGAGTCCGCCGCCATCTTTGATGCGCAGCGCCTGGGGCCCGAGAAGCGCGGACTCGATCACGCCATCGGGGCCGCTGCCTTGCGCCGCTCCGACTCGAGGTACCAGCCGCGCTGCACCAGGGGCTGCACGACTGCAACGGTGGGCGAGGCACAGCGCCCCCCTGCGGTGCCGCAGGCGCGCCTGGCTGCTGCCTCCTCCGAGCCCACGCCGCGCCTCCCGCGCGGCAGCCCGCCTGGCTGCAGCGGGCCCCACTTCTCTGTCATTGCCTCGGGGCGCTCAAGTACTCCAGCTTGGCCACCGAGATCGCCCCTCTCGCTAGTGTCGAACTCGAGGGACCCGAACTCGTTTACCACGCGGGCTGCTGTGGTAGCCGCCTCAACATCATCCAGCCAATGCCCCCAATGCCAAAAGCACCGAGTCCCGCGCGAGGGCTGCCAGTGCCGCTTCCAGTCAGCTGCGCGCCCCTGCCGCACTACCCCGAGGGCCAGGCTCATGGCGCGGGCGGGGGCCGACTCTCCGTGGCGGCACTCGCGCCTGTTCACCGCGCCGCGGGCCGCGCTGGCCGCCATGGGCCTCTCTGCCTGCCCCAGGGACTCGCGCAGGTCACTGTCGTTGACGCCGTGGACCCCCACCAAGGTGCTCACGACGACCTGAATCCACTGGCACGCCGCCTCCTTGGGGCCGCACTGGTGGGGGCCCACCTCCCAGGCCCAGACGCGAGGCTCCACCTGCCAACGAGAGCACTCCACGCGGCTGGGCTCCTGAAAAGCCCCTTCTTCGCGGGGTCGGCGAACTGCGGCAGCGTCGCCAGGGAGACAGACTGGGCGGACAAGCCCTCTGGGCCGTCCCAACTCGGGCAGCGCGCCTGGCTCCATGTCGGAGTTGCCCTGCTCCAGCCAGGGCACGCCCGCGGAGAGCTCGATGTCGCCGCAGGCTGCGAAGATGCTGGGGCTGGCCCCTTTGGGCACCAGGGCGCAGCGCAGGCCCGCCGCCTCGGCGCACCCACCGCCAGGCTGGCGTGGCCCCGCAGCGCGGGCCTCACAGGGCCTGCCCCTGCGCTGGAGGGCATCCTGTGCCCTTGCCCCCAGCAGCGTGGCCAGCGGGGCGAGCAGCCAAAGGGGCCAGGTCCGCCGCCTCGGCTGCCAGCTCCCGCTTGCAGGCCTGCGCCACCTGCGGCCACTCGCCGAGCGTGTTGCCGTACCGCTCGGCTTGGCCGCGCTCAGATGCGGCCTGGGGCAGCCAGGGGCCGCCGCTGCCTGCGAGGTTGCCGTCGTTGCCGTCGTCGCTGCTGATCTCGTCCATGGGGCAGGACTCCGCCTGCGGCGCATGCGTGGGGGCCAGGGGGGGCCCAGCCAGCTGCGCTCGCACTGCCTCCATCTGGGCGCGGATGGCCGCCCGGGCGACCTCGAAGTTGCTGGGGGCCCAAGCCTCTGGCAGCTTGCCCAGCTGCGGGAGGAGCCCTGGGACCTGGCTAGCTCCTGCCCGCTCTGCTGCCCGCTGGCGCTCCCGCGCCTCCGCCTCCTCACGGGCAGCTTCCTCAAGGACCTGGAGCGCCCTGCTGGCCTCCTCCAGCGCGCCATCCCGCTCCGCCAGCGCCTCCTGGGCCTTCTGGAGCTGGGCCTCCGCGAGGTCGCGCGCCACCTGCTTCTGCTCCATGTCCTGGCGGGCTGCGCGGAGCCGCTTCTCCGACTGACTGATGGCGTTGGCTTCCTTGTGCAGCAGCGTCGACCTCGGCATGGAGGCGGCCTTCTGCTCTGCTGCTGCCTGCTGGGCCCTGGCCAGCTCAGCCCGCTTCGACTCCAGCTGGCTGGCCACGACGCCGGCGAAGCTGCCGTCGACGCCCTCGGGCGGCCCTGCCTGCAGCGCCTCCAGCTGCTCGACCGTCGCCTGTAGCCTCTCGATCGCCGTGACTCCACCGCCACTGGGCGCCCCACTGGCCGCTGAAGCCGAGGTCTGCGACTTGGCGGATGCCGCTCGCGAAGCAGCGCTGCGGGCCTGCCGCTGGGCCTTGCGCCCCCTCGGCTGGTCCACCCAGCCGCCCTTGTCGGCCCTGGGCTTCTCCGCCGCCAGCGTTGCCCCCGTGGCCCAGGGCGGCGCCGCATGCCCACAGCTGAGGCAGGAGGTACGCCAGTCCCAGTTCCAACTTCCGCAGCTGCGCATCCAGCGCGGCCTGCTGCGCTTGCCCCCTCTGCCGCCTCGCGAGGAGCGCGCCATGGCCCCAGGCGCAAGGTCTGAGCGATTGCGCCTCTGCTCAGCGAAAACAAGGAGAACAAACGAGTGCACTGGCCCAAAGCGAGGAGCCCCTCGCGCTCGGAACGCCGCGGACGACCCGCGGTCGTCGGGTGCTCCATGGCCTTGAGCCAAAATGGCTACGGAAATGTTCTGCGTGTTCTGCCGTGCTCCTGTGTGTTCTGCCGTGCTCCTGTGCGTTCTGCCGTGCTCCTATGTAATGTGCCGTGCTTCTGTGTGTGTTCGCCGTGCTGCTGCTTGTTCTGCCGTGCTCCTATGTGTTTTGTGTGTGATCTGCCGCGCGCCTGTGTATCCTGCCGTGCTCCTGTGTCATCTGTGTGTTCTGCTGTGCTCCTTGTGATTCTGCGTGTGCTCCTATGTGGTCTGCCATGTTCCTGCGCGTTCTGCCGTCAACTTAAAGTTAAAGACGGGGCCTTCAAGGCAAGAGGGGGGAGGAAAAGAAAGGGGCCGAGGGGCCTCCAGGGGCACCAAGCGCCACCCGAGACACGCCCTCCCGAGAGGGGCCGCCTAGGGCCGCCTCTCCCCGCGGGGCCGCACTGGGCCTCCACCGAGGCCGCACCACTAGGCGAGAAGAGATCTACATACAGAATGCAACTGCCCGCCTCACGCACTCCCTACCAAGACTCGAAGAAATCCTGTGGCTCCTCCTCGATCGATTCCTCGAGGCAGGCCTCCCAAGCTTCATCCCAGGCCCTCAGTCGGGTTACCTGGGCAGCCCGCCAAGCTTTGTCGCTGGCCCTCGTGCGGGCAAGAACGTCGAAGTCCTGCTCCACGGGGCCGTAATCGAAGCCGTAATCGCTGCCATCCGAGACGAACTCCTCCTCCTCGAAGTCCGCCCCCCTCGAAGACGAAATCGAGCTTCTGTAGCTTGCAGCCCAGCGGCGGGCAGAGGCGGCGTCCGCCCCACTAGAGCACGGACCCGCATCCGAGCCCGAGCTCCCCGCTGCACCCGCGTCGGCCTCCGCATGCCCGCCCGCGGCTGGTGCCTCGAGCCAGGCGCGGGCGACCGCCTCCCAAGCGCGCCGCCGGGCCGCCCCGCGAGGGCCCGCGGGCTCGCGGCCTCCACGTGGGATCGCCGCAGGATGCCTGATCAGGTACTGCTGCACGGCGGACTCGCGGCCTCCAGGCGCAGCGCTGGCCGAGCAGGCGGCGGCCACCTCGGGCGCGCCTGCGCCAGCCCCAGTCGCGCTCACGGCCGCGGGCACGGAGGCAGAGTCGGACTCCAGCCCGCACTCGACAAACTGCGCGGCCAGCTCGACGGAACCAGGTCCCGAGACGGGAGGCAGCGGCACACGGCCAGCAGTGCCTCCAGGGATCCCTTGTACTCCGAGGGCGGCACCTGCGTGTTCGAACAGGCTCCCGTCGCCGTCGCTATCAACGCGGCGCTCTCCTCCGACGACGTCTCCAGCCGCGCGGGCCCGCGGCGGCGGCGCTCCAGCGCTCGCAGCACCGCTTCCCAGCAGGCCCACGGCAGACCCGTCCGCTCCCGAGATACTGCGAGCAGACGCTGTCGGCGGCGGCGGCGGCGGCCCAGCGCCCGCAGCGCCGCCCCCAGCATCGCTCTCCACGCTCGCATCATGCACCGAGTCGTGCTCGGGCAGCACGCTGTGCACAACGCCGTCGGCTACCGCGCCCAGACCTTCCAGCAGCGCGTCGACGTCAGCCGGCCAGTCCCACCGCCCCAGTGGTCGACGCGGCCAGAACGGGGCCGCCTCCCGGCGTAGCCTGGGCTGCGCCGGCGGGAGCTCCACGGGCGGCTCGCCGATGCACAGCTCCACCTCGCAAATGATGGGGCCTCCAGCAGCAACGGCGCCGGCTCCACCATCCAGGCGGCCTCCGCGCTGCGCAGCCCTCCACTCCGAAAGGGGGGCGCCTGCCTGCGGGCACTGCTTCGCGTGCTGCGAGACGTTGCGCACCAGGCGCTTGGCCCCGCTCTCGGGCTCGCCGCGGAGCCGCGCCAAAAGGGAGGGCCTGGCCAGCTCCTCGCGGCGGGCGGCCTCGACAGAGATGCCGTCGGCCCCGCGCGCCGCGCCCCGCAGGTCCAGCGCCCCCCGCAGCCGCGCGCACTTAGCGCGGGCGGCCACCCGCGCGCGGCCGCGGGCCGCTCGGCGAGCGGCCGTCGGGCCGAGGCGCAAGGCCTCCAATGCGCGCCGTGAAGAAGGGCGCCACAGCGAGGGGCAGCCCGCCGCCGCCATTTCTCGAGCCCGCCCGCGCGCGCCCGAGGCAGGCTTGAGCCAAAATGGCTACGGATTTCTGCCGTCAACTCTGCCGTGCTCCTGTGTGTGCTGCCGTGTTCCTGTGTGTGCTGTCGTTCTTCTGTGTGTTCTACCGCGCTCCTGCTTGTTCTGCTGTGTTCCTATGTGTTTTGTGTGCTCTGCCGTGCTCCTGTGTGTCCTGCCACGCTCCTGCGTGTTCTGCCGTGCTGCTATGTGATCTGCCGTGCTCTGCAATGCTCCTCCTGCTCCCGAATTCTGCCGTGCCCCTGAATGTTCTGCCATGCTCCTGTGTGTTCTGCAGTGTTCCTGAATCGTCTGTGTATTCTGTCATGCAGATGCGTGTTAAAGTTAAAATTAAAATTAAAGACGGGGCCTTCAAGGCATGTGGTGGCCAGAACGCAGACAGGGCCAGGCGAGGCCCGCGTGCCCGAAAGAGGCCGAGTCCAAGCGGGCACCGAGGGCGGCGGAAGCCTACTCGCACAGGGGAGCAGCAGGCGCTGGCCACACCGATGCACTATTTCACTCACTCACGGGCGGATCGCCACGGCGTGCCATGCGGCGGCGCACCCTGCGGTCTTCAAGGGCTCCGACCGCTGCATGGGCCGCGGCGGCGAGCTCCTCTTCCGTGACTCCGAACGCCCCGAGGAGGCCAGCTCTCGCCGCAGCTGGGCGCCGCAGAGGCTGGCTGGCGGCGGCGGCCGCGGTGGGTGCGGCAGCGGGGGCTACGCCTAGGCCCTCCGCCTCGACGGGCGCCGCGGCCGCTGCAGGGGCGCTGCCTGCTGTGCTCGCCGCCGCCGAGGGGTCGACCGCTGGCTCCACTGCGATGCCAAGCCACTCCAGGCACCGCTCCTGCGCATGCTCAGGCAGTGGCCCCTGCGAGCGCAGAGCAGGGATGCCCTCTCCTTTCACTCTGTGCCTGGCGGTTCGGGGCCCTTCCTGTCTCCTGCCGCCAGGATGGAGTCCCCGAAGCCACAGGCTGCGCTGGTTCCTGCCCCCTTTGTCGGCCTTGTCGCCTGGGCGCCGCTCCTTGAGGCGAGGCCTCGCCCCAGAGCGACTTCCCAACGTCATGTAGGCGCCGCACTTGGTGCACGCCACGAGCTCTTGGGCTTCGTCGCCTTCTCCAGCGCAGGCGTAGGAGAGGGCGTGCCCCAGGATGCTGAAGGCTACAGCGCTGGCCGAGAGGGCGGCAGAGCTGCTGCCAGCCGAGAGAGCGCTCTCCAGGCGCGGCCGCTTGGCCCTCGGCGCGGAACTAGCGGCCTCCTCTGCCGCCTGCGACGCCTCGGCAGCGGCGAAGCGTACCTGGCGCCGCTCAGCCGCAGGGGGGAGCCCTTCGCAATCCTTGGCCGCGATGTCCTGCCAGAGGATGGCTGCCCGACAGGTCCAGCGCCCGAGCTCCAGCACGATCTCCGCCAACGCGTGGTGCTCGCCAACCGTCTGCCTGTCCACCGCATGCAACTGGGCACCCATCTTGGCAAGGCGATCAGCATGCTCGTTGCCACGCCGCTGGGCCTCCGTCAGGAGCCCGTCGAGCACTGCCTGCCTCGAACAGTGGGCTGGCACCTTCTTCACCTCGAAAGTTCCTGGCTCGAGGCGCGCCAGGATCCTGCCCCGCAGATGGGCATTGGCCCTGCTGGGCGCCGTGGCGTATGCACGTCCTCTGCGCAGGCAGGTCACGGTGGAGCTGCAGTCGATGTTGACCTCCTCAGCCGCTGGCCCTGCGAAGGTGGCGGGCATCCATACTGCGAGGTCCTCGCCATCCTTGGCCGTCTGCTGCGGGCAGAGGTCTCGCCTGACGGTGCCGTAGACCCCTGCGACTAGGTTGCCGTCGTCGTCGCACTGTGCAATGGCCCAGCCCGCGCGGCGTAAAGCACTGAACTGCGGCTCGAGGGCCGAGCCATCAAGGTACAGCTTGCCGTTGAGCTTATCATCGGCTGGCCTACAGACCCACTGCACCCACATAGCGTCTGTGCGGCGACCCTGTGGCGGCTCTGGGGCAGGCAGCCAACAGCGGGCGAAGTTCTCGCCTGAGCACTCCCCGTGGGCCCGCGCTCGCTCTGCGCACCTCTTCAGCCGTGCGGACACTCCGTCGCGCCGCTGGGGCTCCAGCACAGGGCACTCGAACAGGCGGTGCCACAAGGTGCCTCGATCGGCCCCGCAGCGGCAACAACGCGCGTGCCCCCGCTCTCCTGCATCAAAGAGCCTGGCCTGAGTCCAGTGCGCGTTGGAGATGTAGGCCCCGAGCGCATTCTGCCCCCTCACGCTCAGCTCGCTGTCTGGCCCGAGTAGCCGTCCGATGGCGTCCCAGTACAGTGGCCGCTGCAAGAGGGGGTCGTGGCTGAGCTTCCGCATCTCGTGGCGATCGGAGGGACGCCTAGCGCCGAAGTCAGCCTCCAGGCCTAGCTCCCGAGGCCCGAGGAGCAAGAGGTCGAGCTCGTCGCCGAAGTCCGCGACGAGGTACCGCTCGGACTTGAAGTGCCAGCCGATCCGTGCGAGAGTCAGCACTGCCGCGTCGATGGCGAAGGCGCAGTGCTTCCACAGCGCGTCGGCACCCGCGTGCCTGGCTGCCGCCGACTCCAGCCCCCGCGCCATCATCCTGTGCGGCAGCTCGGCGGACTGCAGGAGGCTCGCCAGCATCTGGGCCGCATGGGCAGCCGCGAGGACTGCAGTGTCCAGGTCACGCCTCCTCCTGAGCTCGGCGCAGCGC